CTATCGCATCTGAAGATCAGACGGTGAGCCCAACTTTGCCCTCGTCCTGTTGCGCATCGGAACCCTCCCTCAACGATCGGCTGAAGTTCCGACGGGTGGGGCCGAGCCGTCCACCGGAGACGGCCAGTTACTTCGGACGATCGGACTTAATAGCGAGGTTTTTGCGAGTCAACGGGGACTCAAGATTTCTGAGGCTATGAACAAAATCCAGGCTCTACTATCCAGGTATATGACCCTATTATCAGGGAGGGCAGAAGCGATCTTGCCATCCTGCCGGGGACCACAGGAACGAGGCCAAAAAGTAAGAACGACGGTGGCATCGGCGATGTTGAACACCATAGACGACGTGACTTATGGGATGAGCAGCATAGTATATTGTAGAAAGATCATTCAGGACTAGTGGGGTTAATGCACAAATAGAAACAATTCTATTCTGCGTACACAGTACGACTCTACAAAATACGAAAATTGATTATGTGACAGCGTCCATGAAGAGTGGAATGTGTGAGAAAACTTCGAAATATGTATGTATTACCGTATGTGAATGCTGGTATCCAGCTGAGTTTCATGAAAATGGACCATACTCTTTTGATACCGGTCCTGTTCGGAGTCAATTCGGTATCTTGTGACACTGCGCCCCGATCTGGCTACCTTGTATGTTTCAACGGGAGAACATTGATAAAGTCCGTACAGAATGGTGTGTGAAGTGTTTTGGGGGCGTTCAAAATGTATTAAGATTGACGTGATGTCGTTGGTAGGAAAGCTACTTCGGAAGCTTTCATGCCCAAAGCCATGGCTCGCCAGAGCCCAGGTTTACGCACTGGGCGTAAAGTTGCGTATGACATTGGAGTCTTCCGGTAGAGTTCGTAGTTCGTACTAGAGCAAAGACACTGTAATGAGTCAAGTTGAATTATGAAGGATTGCAAAACTCCAACACCTCGTTACCTACTTAGGTACGGAGAAGGGTTTAGCCTAACTTTTCAGCCGCGGACCTCTTCGACCGCGCGGTCGACTTGGCGCGCGGGATGCAACTAAACCTACATAACACGGCTCCATGTGGCCCACAAAGTCTGTGCTCATTGGATTTTTCTATCTTATTACGTCAATGGCAATGGGATTCGCGAAGAAATCGCCTTTTTCGTTACTAGTGTTCAAACCTGACCATGCTTAATGATCAGTTATCTCATCTAATCAGATCTACTCGACCGTTCAACACACGAACAGGGACATGATCTTATGCGACAAACGACATAAAAGTGATGTAGTTTGGTAATCTTTATCCACCATTGTAAGCAAATGCCGAGGCAAAGCTTTTTGACCGATAGCCAAGATAGCCAACGTTCCAGATCAAGGTGAGAGTTGGAGTGGGTTAAACAACTATAAGAGCAGTTTGGTTCCTGACTCCTTACATTCCTACTTTCTGACCCTTCACTATCACTTCCAACCAATGCAAAACAAACTCAACCAAATTTGACTCCTTGTCGTCGGCAAAATGAAGTACATCTCTGTTTTGGCTCTTTTCGGTACGTTTCCATTCCTTTGAGGTCACGCTGTGTTACAAGCCGAGCTAACTGGAGTAACTGTCAAAGTCACCCTGGCTCTTGCAGCCCCTTCCAACCAGCAGGCCGAGCCCGAGCTGGAGGCTCGCCAGGGTTGCGTCCCCGACTGGTCCAAGGGCCCGTTCGGTGGCTGCCCTTAAACAGCAGAACGCGCCTCAAGGCTTTTGCGACAGAGCCTGTTAGATGTTGAGAACACCATGGGCGGCTGCAATCTTTACGCCAACGATGTGAGAACATGGGTACTAGGCACCGTTCAAAGCTTCAGATGTCGGAGAGATAGAACGCTCTTTATCAATGATCAGATCTTTTACCGACGCGCCATTGGTACTTGCCTCTAATCGCAAGCACTCGCAATTATGATCTATATAATAACCCTCTAAATCATGTGCATGCGCCTGAATGTTGTTAGGCAGCTGATGTTCATAGCAAGTTTGTCTTCGCTTGTGGTCTCATATCGTACTGCTGTTCAACCACCTACTCAAAAGGGTTTCATTGTGAATATTGGAGTTCTGAATAATCATGTCGAAGCAATTATTTGATGAAGTGCTGATGCAACACCTCAGTGTGATCCATGTAAATGGCACTATGCTTTGTCAATACCACTCTGAAAAGCGCCATTTTGGCATTCGTTGGAGCTGGCGTGTCATCCAACTGGGCTACTAGACACATAGACTCCACGTTCCATCTGTGTTGATCCACGTCCGTCAGCCACATCTTTGTGCTCTGAATCTAGGAAAACATCGGACTTAGGTAGTGAGTAACTGATCGTACCTACAACTACGGCTCAGAAAGATGCACTAGAGTTCCATGCCAGGTGTTTCGAGAGTGAATACAAACTCAGCCAACACTTCCGGGAAGTCATCAACTATGATCGTTGGACGAAGCAGCGTGGTCGGAGCCTAGTGTTAGACGCCGGTATAAGAAAGGTTGTTGTTTTGACCTATACACAAGGATTGGTTGAAGAAAAACGGCTCGTTCTATCTAGTTGCCAAAAGGTCTTTTTGAACCAATTCCTTTTTGTCAGGATGCACGCGCGTCATTCCCGTTGCTGCCTTCTCGAAGTAATACTGTACGAGGCAACAGGTGCAACAAATGTTCCTGGACGTGCGCGGTGCTCAGTTGGACTATCACTTGCTGCTTTGAATCCATACCAAGAATCGCCTGTTACGCCCAACGCAGCATCCACCCAACATCCCTCCCGGACGTAAGCAAGCCTCACCTTTACCATAGACACATGGTATGCGACATGCTTTAGCATGAAAGCCGGTTGCGTGTAATTTTCTTCCCCAGCTCTGACAAGCAACAAGCCCTATATCACAGCCTATTCACGATGGCGATATTGGTTGATGCTGGTGGACCAGCACCTCGTATCCCATCGGCTGGCATGACGCAGGTTACCCCTTGTGCGGAGCAGCCAATCAATGCACACTGAGAAGCATGAGATCTTCAATTCGACTACTAGGTGTGACGAATCTACTTCGTAGTTGGAGAAAAACTGGGCCATACTGTAGACGTCTTTTCGGCGCCATCCTGCACCCGGTGGGATACGTTTCGCAATAAAACCTAGATGCCGATCAGGCCGAAGAGGCGGTACAGCCCATAAGATATTTCTACTAAAATGAAAAACATGATAAATTGCAATTCATCTTCGGCCTGGCCAGCATCTACGGTTCATGGAGTGTGGACGAGCTGCTGAATCACGTTAATGTATCACCTGGACTCTTTCCTTGTAGACGGCCCGGCTTCACGACTGATCACCATAAAAAAAAGGTCTGAAGGCCATCTTCTCCAGTTCTAGGGAAGTTAAATTCTTTTTCAGAGGCATAAGAAGAAAATGAGGAAAACCATTCTGCTTGCTTCTGGGAGTGCCCGGTACGTAACGTGTCTTGTTGGAAACCTCGTATCAAGGAGGTGAACTGTGTGTTTTGCGTGTCTTAACACAAGTTCATCCCGAGTCAGTACTGATAGGTTTCCCAGAAAATCTTTAAGAGAGTGAGATAGTCATCAGGGAGGGACCGCAGGCAAACCTACCTATTATTGGGGATAGGGGGTAGAGAATTGGCCGCACCTCCTTAATTAGAGGAACGCTCCCTTCAGGAGGATAGATTATTCCATGCCCCTTAGGTATATAACACAGATTGCTTAGGGAGACAAGCAGGTCATTTAGCAATACACCAGCAGCCTGACTTGATTCTTCAGGCGACTTTTTGTATTCAAGGCCGAAAGGTTTTCCTGACAGTTGTGTCTTGCTGTCTCCTTCAAAAGTTAAGAGGATTTGCTACCAAACACCTTCGACCTTCCCGATTGTTCATAGTGTATTGTCTCGAATTGAGCGGATCTAAAGCACTCAGTGAGTATATGTTTCTGCATACATCTCTTTAGATTTAGATGCAACTGACACATTCTTTCCAGCCATGTCTCGATACACGTTTCTCTTCGCCGCCCTCTATGCTGCCCTCACGTATACCGCCACGACCCAAGCTGCCTGCATTGTTCAATTTTCGAGTAACGGAGGGGGAGGTGGTGCTTGCGAGCCATCGGGTGGGCCGAAGGGTATTTCATTGCCGAACGGACCTCACATTCAATATTCTCTCAGCGGCGCATGCGAGCTCACCATACTGAACGGACCCTTTGAGGGAGTCACAGCCTCGGTGTCTCCGGTCGCGTCTTGTAGCTGAAGTTTGGAGCTAAGCACGGATATCTCAAATGGTTGCCAAGAAGGTTGATCAATTACCCGTAGTTATATTTCATCACAGGGATATTTTCCACGGAAATCGTATTGATCAGTTGGTCCATTGACGAAGAGTCTTGCTATCCGGGCGGATACTCATAAGGTCTAATAGTTTATTCCATATTGATTAACTTTACTACTATCGTCGCTATTCCTATCCTTCTCTCTATCCCTATTACTATCGTCGCTATTATCGCTATCGTTATTATCGTCGTCGTCGTCGTCGATCGTCCCTATCGTCGTATATCCACTACCCGCCCGGTTCGCTAAAAGTATCCGCCCGGATAGCAAAACTCTTGACGAACCTGGGAAGCTAATTTGGCCGTCTCGATCTGTTTAAAAGGACGTGCACCTAGCGAGTAGCCATACACTTCCTACACTTTTTGAAAGAATACTACGTCTCTTAATACCAACTTCAATCCAGCTTTCGGCATACCTTTTAACGAATCAGTCTGGTTGTGGCTGGATTTGAGTTCTTGCTGGGTCTGGTTGTCCACTTGCTCAGGTCTTGGGTACTGACCGACCTTTGTGGGCAGTCGCACTTTCTCCGATTCACTGCATCAATCTATGTACCTACCTTACTCAACAAAAGCGCTGTTCATTCCACGTCTTCGACCTTTGATGTCGGGGGAATTTAAAAGAAAACACAACTGTACTAGCAATCTACGCCTTATCACCAAACCGTAACAGTCCTGATATCTTACGCGACGATGCAGTGTATCAAAACTCGAATCGACTTCTCCGCAGTCCAAGCCGACATTGACACAGGCAAGCCATCAAATTTCAACACGTGCTTCCACTCCGAAGATGAGGCCCCTGATAAGGGTAGAACTTCGAACGAGCCATACTCCTACGAAAGGTGGCTGCCACTCATTCTCGCTTCACGAAATCTAAGCTCCGATGTTGTCCAGAAAGTCAGCTTCACTCGATCCCAAGCGCGCCTACTTCACGACGCCTGCAGCGCCTCCATTCAAGTCAAGCGAGTCAATCTCACGATGGCCGAAGATCTCAACGATGAGATTGCGCCTGCACTCTCAACGTTGCGCTTCCCTCCAGAGGGCCTCTTTGTCCGCTTGGATGCTTGCTCACCGAAAGACGGAGCACACAAGATACCCGGAAAAATGTCACTCCACTCAGTCGAGGAGATCATCCTCAGACTCGTCACCTCCGGGCGATGTCGCGCTGCGCTAGAAGACTGTCTTGGCAGTATGAAGACAGTCGAACTTTTCTTCTTGCCCTTTGACCCGCGTATGGCTTCGGAACGGGAGTACAGAGTTTTCTGTCGAACTGGCGATTGCAGTATCACTGGCATCAGTCAGTACCATTGGCACAAGCCGTGGCGCTTTGCGACTAGCCCAGAAGGCGAGCAAAACGCCATCATTCACAAAATCTGTCAACAGGCGGAGCACATCACACGGCAGATATTGGCGGATGTGAAGAGCAAAGATGAGAACGACAGGATGCTGATGGCACAGGGGATGTCTTTTGACCTCCTCTACAATGAAGATACTCGGAGAGTTGAGCTTGTGGAGTTGAATCCCTTTGGGATCAGAAGCCCCTGCGGATCCTACTTGTTCCAGTGGATCAGAGACCGCGAGGTCCTTTACGACGAAAACGAGAAAGAGACTGTTGAATTTCTGGTCAGCTACTGACGGGGCATGAAAGTCAAAAAGACAATGCGATACATCGTATTCGGGCAGCGCCGGCTATACTTGTTGAAAGACACAGCGCTGGGCTACTAAGACACGAGCATATAATCCAATGGAATCCATTCATCTTCCACAAATAAAGCCTGCCGTCCAAGGAGATTCTTGTGTGTTACGTTTTAAAAGACATTTCCATCGCCTTTTCCATCCTGTTGCTAATGGGGTTATGATTGGTCACATCAGTTGTGCTGCATCTTCCAAAATACAGCCGAGCGTCCGGAAAACGGGCAGCCAGATTGCGTGCACTGGTTCTCACATCCCATGTCGCCGGCACAATTGACGACGCCGTTGCCCTGCTATTGCATCAGTCAAAGATTTGGAATAGCATTGCTGCAGATCATAGGGAAACGCACAGAGTGGCCGTTGATGGCATCCCGGACGAGGTCACCAATATCGGATGATCCAATGTAAGTGTCATAGGTATTTCTGGTGCCAGCTCCAAAGACGCAAGTGCCGTACACCACGACACCGTGGTAGTCTGGGGTGTTCGTCCAGATAGACCAGTAGGCGTTGAGTGTGTAGGCCCCTGAACATCGTAGTTAGTTAACCTGAAGGGTCTGAACGTAACAGGCTTCAGTGTATGAAGCACCTATGCTTGAGGAGATGGGGTATGTTGTTTACTTACAGTCGCGAATGACGGCGCAGTCGCCAACGTTTGGGTACGGGGCCCCAGTGCCCACAAAGCTGCTACCACCGCAGCAGTCGTTCGTGATGACGGCAACGGAAACCTCGTCAGGTGATTTGGTAATGTTGAGAGCAGCAGGGTTAACCTTGAGTGTCTTGCCCTGGAACTCGAAGGGAACCCAGTCGCTGGTGTCGATTTGGCGGGCCGAAAGCATACCCGCATCGCTGGATGTCGGCACGGCCAGGGAGACGGTGCTGAACAAGGCAAGCAGGGCAACTGAAGTGTTCTTGAGGCCGAGCATTGTGAGTTTTGACTGTGGGAGGAAGAAGATTGAAGATGAGATTGATAGTGCTGTGGATGAGTGAAACTTCAATCGACTTACACGGGAACGTTCGAGGCTTTTATAGACAAAACCAGGAATGAGAAATTCCATGAGACTCACTTTGGAATGATGTTGCATGCTATTGTTGACTCCAAAGTTCTTCCGATCCCACTCCAAAGGTCCTGAACTACAGCATCTCGAAGGCGCAGCATGGACATCGCAAGGTGATGCATCAAAAGACAGCAGGTTGTTATTAGCTTGTGCACAAACATCTCGCAGCCTGCCTGACCGATTTTAGTGCTGATGATCAATAAAGTAAGCATCGCATGGGCACGGAAGCACCAGTGAACGCTTGATTAGGCTGCAGATGGCATCGATAGTCAGTTGCTTGATAGGATTAAGCACTTATTGCAACCCTGAAATGCTGTCATCAGGCACAGTCATCGATGTTCTGGAACTAAACTCCCTATGAGGCCGTTATCCACCCATGCATTTGCATTACCTGCTGCACAACCAATCAGTTCAGTTTCAAGTTTTTACTTTGTATGCTGTCATCATGCACACCCGTCTCTCGAGAGGCAATTTTCCCTTTAAAAGGATTGTGCTACTGCTGAACGCATCTATTCAAGAGCAGAATCAGACACGTACAATAGTATTTACCGGGACAATACTTGATGAACTGTTGATTACCTGGTAGTGATTCTAGTTGAAGCTAGGTGGCCCTCCATGCACAGAAGGTGAATATCAATTCAGTTCCAATACGGGTTGGAAGCACCCATTCTCGATTTACATACATCCCGAAAACAAGTCATCCCTTGAGGCAATCGTCGTAAGCTCGCTCCGTCGGTCGATCGCTGCTTTGTCAGTACGTTGCCGCTAGGTATGGGTATAGGTTGGATGGTTGCATCGAGCCTCCTCTTAACCGTATTGGTTGTGGTGCCAAGACGCCAGTCAGCTGAGGGGTTGTGATTTAGGATTCAGTTGACGGCTGCCTTGTGGGGACAGCTGAATATTGGAAGTTACCTTCCATTCTCGGAATCGCAAGGTATGCTCAGAAAGGAACTTTGGAACAGTAATGTAGGCTCTGCCTCGGACGTACAGCTGTGGCGTATGCCATTGCAGACGATGTCAGAATGAATTGGAACTTGATCGGAGATAGTGGTCCGCGAGGCCGGTCGCCGGTCGTTGTAACTACAGTGGCGGATGAACTGAAACCCCGGTGAATGTACATTTCTATGAAAGGGATGGTCATCTCCAATGTCGACTACTTTGCGACCATGTGAAGACGAGTCTGGAAATGTAACACAGGAAAGAACGGCAGTTGTACAATTTCCAAAGGGGAGTTACACAAGGATTCTTTTCTTACTTTGACCCAGGCGCCATTTGAAGAGTTGGAAGAAAATGCCACCAATCGGCTCGAAGCAGCAAACTGCAAGTCTGATAAGTTCGGAATGTCCCACAGGGGAGAGTCCCCATTTGTGCGACAGATTTCTGGATGTAATTTTTCGTAAGTCTGCATTTGGGAAGGGCGGGTTGCCACAACAGGGACCGCCAGTGTCAGATTGTTACTTCATTCTCATGTCATCCTTCTGCCTAAGGCTTCACATGAGGTGCGGCTAATCTGACCCTGGAGGCACCTGCAAGATTGAATCCAAGTCAGCGAGGGTTATGATTCGAATCTGTCCCATTGATCGCTTGTTAAAGTCTGAAATTGATTGATAACTGGCCAGCCACAGGCATATATGATTTGACAGGGCGTTCACCAGAAGGAAGCCGGACCTGAACTTGATGATTGCGGCACTTCCCGGCCATAATGCCATACAGGCCACTGAATGGCGTGGACTCGGCCGCCTTCATTTGCATGAGATTCCCAGTAGGTTAATGAGTAGAGTAGATGAAGAAAATGTATTTACAGACCACCCACCTTTCTCCGTCTATGTACCTACTTTACATCCCGAATATTTTCAACTACTTATACGGCGGATGATAATTACAGAAAATAAATAGTCCGGCTAATCACACTCATAATGAAATTAATAAAAAGGAAAAGATGATAATAATAATAACGATCCATAATAACGACAACGAGGGCAGCAAGACTTAAAGCTGTAAAGCGTCATCATGACGGAAGACACGTGTGGATGTTTTTGCACAAATGAGAAGTCCCCTTATAAGTGGAGGTCCCGTCATTGCCATGACATAGGAATCGTGGCATAATATTGCTGTAAATACTCCTGAAATCATTACTATCACTGCGACTTCGAGAAAATGAAACACCCGATATCAGATGTTTTCTCATAAGCTTGCATTTACATCAACCAAAACCTTGACTTGATTGTCTTTGTCTGTAATGAGGGCCTTGATCCCCTTATCAATCAAGTCGTCGAGGGGGATCTTGCGAGTGATCATCGATGCTGGCTTTAGAGCCCCTTAATCCGTTTTGTAAGCCGGTGACTTTCCTGGAAGTTGTGCTATTTACTTACCAGTTCTCAGGTTGTCGATGACAGCCTGGTAGTCTGCCTTTTGATATCCCAAGACCGACTTATACGAGCTCTCTCGCCACGTGATCCAGTTGGGGTTGAAGGGTATTTCCTTCTCCCAAATAGCTACGTTGACTATTGTTCCTCGGGTCTTCACTGCGAGACATGCAGCCTGAACACTGGCGAGGCGTTAGTTGATATCCTCTGAACGGAACCATGAACTGCAACTTACCTAGCGGGTACCCCAGCACAGTCGAAAACAACATCTGCACCAATGCCATTTGTTATCGCAAACGTTTCCTTGACAACATCCTGCTCCTTCGGGTTGATAATGTCAGTGGCGCCGAACTCCCTCGCAAAGTTCTGGCGAGCAGTCGCAATCTCCGAAACGATAATCTTCTTCACTCCCTTCGCAATCAAGCACAGAACCGCCGCAAGCCCGATCGGTCCGCCGCCCATGATCAACACCGTCGAATCAGGCGTGACGTTCCCGGCAGACACGGCATGCCAAGAGACTGAAAGCGGCTCCACCAGCGCGCCCAGCTCGAGTGGCACGCCGTCGGGTAAAGGGAACACCTGGTCAGCAGGCACGGAAACCGCCTCACTCAGCCCGCCGCCCCCGCCGCTGAGCCCGATGAAGCCGCCGGTGTGGCAGGCATTCTCCGCCCCGCTTGTGCAGGCGGCGCACTTTCCGCAGTAGACCGTCGGCTGCACCGCGCATGGCTGGCCGACCTTGATGTTGCCCTCGGCCTTCACATCAGAACCGATCTCCTTGATGACGCCTGAGAATTCGTGGCCGAGGGTGACCGGGATGGTATCGCCTGTGACGGGGTGCCTGGATGCGGGGCAGAAGTTGGGGCCGCCGAGGTATTCGTGGAGATCGGTTCCGCAGATTCCGACGAATGCCGGGGCGATCTGGGGTCAGAAAGGTGGTAAGTTCAGGGTTAAACTCCAGAAAAAATGTCACTGTGTTGCAATGCGTTTTCCCCGCGCGGGGTGCTGAAGGTTGCTGGGGACTGGATGTCAAGTGCGGAGGGAGCTGTAGCTTCGTCTTACCTTGATCTGGTTGGGTCCACAGGGAGGTTCCGGGATCTGTTCGATGCGGATGTCCTCTTTGCCGTAGTATCTTGCCGCTCGCATGTTGTTGATATTCGATTTTAGGTGTGGGTGAAGAATGAATTTGGGATGATGGGAGGTAGTGGTTGGGTTTCCGTCTTAATGCTGGACGAACGGAAGCACGGTGATGGACTACTTATGGCCCCCTCCTTGTGGCGTTACTTCCGCCGTGCCAAAGTTGCGAGATCCGGAACTCTCCCCGGCATCATGGCGGAAATAGTTATCAGGTGTGCCATCGTACGATCAGCAACACCAACAAGTCCGTTTCATTGCCCCGCACCGTCAGGCCACGTGCTTGGCGAGTGTTTCCAAGGATGTCGTCCTTGTTGGAACGACACACTGCGAGCGATGAGGATCCTGCGCATACCGACAGGCTGGTTCTACGTTGAACGATGACGCGTTT